TGATCTTCCTCTTCTTTTCTTTGCTAGTTAGCTCGGACTCCTCGGAGTTGGCTAGGATTGTATTAATCCTTATGACCTTCTGGGGTGGCTCCTTGGCGGTGTTGCGGTCTTCAATCTGCTAGATGGCATGCTTCGCAATGAACTCTGTGCAGTGACCATCTCTCACGAGTTCTTCGAGGTGCGCTTTCCAAGCAAAGCAGTTATTCTTATTGTGCCCGTGCGTCGCATGGAAGGTACAGTATTTTCTAGTATCCCTTTTGTCCGAATCTCCTTTCAAGGGTGGCGGTCTTCTTACCTAAGGTATGTCCTTCACTTGGGCTAAGATTTGATGTATGGGGATGGAGAACTTGGTTTAGTTCTCCTTTGTCGTACCGTCCCCTTGTAGGTACGACCTACATTTGTTTTTATTCTTGCTACTAAGCCCGTCGCTTCTTTGGCCTGCCCTCTTGGTTGGCTGATCTTCCTACTTGGTAGACTTCTTCGTGACAATTCAATCGTCATCCCAGAGCGCGTAGCATTCAGCGATCGCGAAGACCTCTGCCATAGTCTAGTTGGGAGTGATAGTTTGCTCGCGGTACAAGTCATGTTCAGTTGGAAGACCTTTCTTCAAAGCAGAAGACGCGATTCGGTCATCGCACCCTATAATGTTGGCCTTTTTTGCTTTGAATCTCTTGATGTAATCTCGAAGGGATTCATCGGGCTTCTTACAGAGGTTATACAGGTGGTCAAGGTTCTTGATCGTCCGGTAAGAAGTGTATTTTTTGGTGAAAACGTAAGCCAGCTCCTTGAAGCTGCAGATCGACCCAGATGGCAGGGTATAGAACCAGCCCTGAACTGCTCCTCGCAAAGTCATTGCAAACACTTTGCACATTAGCGCGTCTTCGGCCTTGTAAAGGATCATAACGCTCTTAAAGTGCTTCTGATGGCTTTTAGGACCGGAATCCCCTTTGAAGTATGTGAAAGAGGGCGTTGAGAATCGTTTCGGGGGAGCAGCCTGCTTGATTTCGGCGGTGAAAAGGTGAGAAGTTTGCTTAGTCTACCTCCATGCGTAGTGCATCTTCGAAATTTCCGCCAATCCTTAAGTCTAGAAGTCGGTTATTTACAAGCTTCTCAACGTCTTCCGCACACATGGCTAGTCGGTCACGTGGACAACTTTCGCGATTTGAGCGACGCTGATTGACTTCCTCGTTACTAAGCCTATCGCTTCTTTATGTTGCCTAGGCAGCGTGTTGGTGGACTGCACTTGCGAGGGATTTCCTATAGCTTGTCGACGAGAATTAGTTCTTCGGGAGTAGGAAGCGAAGCACCTTTCTTCACGATCCTCATTGTGAGGGTCGTCAGGTTGACCTCCTTGGGGGCCTAGCCTTTCGTGAACATTTCCTAGCGAGCGGGCAGCAGAGCGCCTTTCTTTACGATCCACATTGTGAGGGTTGTCAAGTTGACCTCCCTGGGGGCCTAGCCTTTCGTGAACATTTCCCTGCAGGCCCAGGCGGGCGCGAATGTCAAGTCGTCTGCTTTAAGTGTGGCTCACAGATGCTTGTGATATGTCGGCAAGCCGACTGTGTTGTTGTCCCTCTCCTTGTCTGCTTACTCCTGCACATCTTGCTTGGTACCCATCGAACTGCCCATCAACGCATTCGTCCATCCTTCTCTCTTCGCCCTATTGTCCAAGGCCAAAGTTTTGAACAAAGTTTATTTGGTTGAGGAGCTGCGTCATCAAGTCATTTTGGTCGTCCATTCTTTGAGTTAGCTGGTCAACTCTCAGATTGAGGTCTACTTGACTTCTTCAAATGGTACGATGACGGCAGAGGCCGGTGCGGCGGGTCCAGCAAGTGGCACGATGGTTCCATCCACACAGGGTGGCTACTGTGGTGCGGCAGCAAGGGTTTGCTGTAGGTGAGGTGGTGGTGCCACCATGTCGATCATGGGATCGTGGGAGGAGTGACCTTGGGCCGTTGTGGATTGAGCCATCGCGGCGGTCTTGCTCCTCGTGTGCTTGCTTCCAACCATGGTTATTTGGAAAGCTTCAGTGGATTGGAAAATAGGAGGAGCGGATTCCTTGAGCACGCATTGAGTATAACTTGTGCTATCAATGAAAGCACCAAAAGTTTGTGCAAAAATCCTCGCAGAAGAATATTCGCTTTGTGATTCTTCAACCTTTGATCTTCCTTCTCTTCCTCGTTTCCTGTAAAAAAGACCAAAGTAAATAGACCACACCCGGGGTGTGTTGACCAAAGGCCCTCCGATGCCTAAGTTAGTTCGATTGAATCTAGGTGAAACTAGGGCTGCACACGGGTCGGGTTGGGTCGGTTATGGGCTCAAACCGTTCACCGAATCGGGTCATGTCGTCAGGCCCAAATCCTTAACCTCACACCTGTTTATTAAGCCCATTTTCGACTTAAGTCGATACCCGAATTAAACGGGTCAGGTTGGTTCGGTTTGGATGTATGCCGAGGCCCAACAAAAGCAAGAATTGAAGGTTTTTTTTAAAGTTTTTCAAGCCCATTCTTTTTTTTAAAGTTTTCCAGGCCCATTTTTTATTATAAAAAAACAGTTTTCCAGGCCCATTCTGTTTTTCCAGTTTCTCCTATTTAAAGTTTATCATCAAACGGGTCGGGTTGGTTCGATTTGGATATATGCCGAGGCCCAACAAAAGCAAGAATTGAAGGTTTTTTTTAAAGTTTTTCAGGCCCTTTCTTTTTTTTAAAGTTTTCCAGGCCCATTTTTTATTATAAAAAAACAGTTTTCCAGGCCCATTCTGTTTTTCCAGTTTCTCCTATTTAAAGTTTATCATCATTCAAATATAAAAAAAACACTTAAAACCTAAGAAAATTATCAACCACCACTCATGTCGAAATAATCCAATAATTATTACAAACCATAGCTGATTGTGAGAGTAATCTCAATCACAATCTGCATATTTGCAAAGTTTAAAAGAAAATCCAAATGAAAACAAATAAATTTCCATGACA